GTCTTTACAGAGAATTGCAGCCCTAGAGAAAGTAGTCCTAAAATTCATATGGAACCAGAAGAGACCTAGAATAGTAAAAGCAATTCTGGGCAAGAACAGCAAGGTAGGAGGCATCATAATTCTGGACTTCAGGTTATACTACAAAGCTAAGTGATAAAAACAGCATAGTCCTGGAAAGTGGCGTGGATCAATGGAACAGAATAGAGGATGCAGAAACAACTCCATATTCCTCCAGAATAGAGGACATGTATTCACTACCTGATCTTTGACAAAGGGGCTAAAAAGTTGCCCTGGAAAAAAGTTCGCCCCTTTAACAGATGGTGCTGGGAAAACTGCCTTGTCCACATGCAGGTACTACTATCCACATGCAGGTACTACCTTACCAGGTACTAAACTAAAATGAAAATAGAGCAAAGATCTAAGTATTAAAACAAAAACTTAATGTGTTGGAAAATAAAATAGGTAAAACTGTTGAAGGCATAAGTGTAGGCACGGACTTTGTGAACAGAACCCTAATCACACAAGAAATAACACCAGCAGCCAACAGATGGGATCATATGGAATTAAACTTCTGCACAACGAAGTAACCAACAGAATAGAGGCAACTACAAAATGGGAAAACATTTGCCAGCTATTCTGGCACAGAAGACTAATATCTAGAATATATAAAAAATTCAAAAAAGTTAGACCCCTCCCCAAATTTAAAGAGCTGCTTCAGACCAAGGAATGGGCAGTTGAAATGAACAGACGCGTATTTTTCTGAAAAAAGAAATACAAATGGCCAAGAAATACATGCAAAAATGTTCAATGTCTCTGGCCATTAGAGAAATACAAATTAAAACAATACTGAGATTCCATTTTACTCCAGAAAGAATGGCAATCATCAAGAAATCAGGTAACAACAAATGCAGGCTAGGCTGCAGAGGAAATATATGTCCATCTACAAATGAATGGATAAAGACAGTATGGTATTTGTAGACAATGGAGTACTATTCTGTGATAAAGAAGGATAAACTTGTCATTTATAGAAAAATGGATGCACCTTGAGACCATACTGTTAAGTGAAATACACCATTTAATTTAAACTTAAATGTTATATGGTTTATCTCATATAAGAAACCCAAAATATACACAAAGAGCAGAATAAAAGGTAGAGAATCAGAAATATGGGATAGATCTTTTCCATATGGGAATGGGACTAAGAGATGGAGGGAGGAGAGAGGGGAAGAGAAAGGGATAAAAAATAAATAGAACTACAAAAAAAACAAATTTTAGTTTTAGAAATTGGCATGTTGGAAATAGGCAAAGAGCTGACATCAGTAAAATAGTTCTCAAAGAAGAAAACAATAACAAAGGAGCATGACCAATAATAAATTTATAGTTTAACGCAATTTTAGTGAATTAAAAGATTTGGAACTGTTTTGAGGATCGAACTCAGGACCTTGTGCTTGCAAGGCAGGCTTGGTGCCACTGAGCTAAAAAATCCCCAGCCCAGAAACTGTTTTGAAAAAGAGCACAGCAATAACTGAAAGTACTGATGAAAAAGACCAATGTGAGGAATACTATGGAAAATTAGACTTCCAAGGAATAATAAAAATGAGACATGCAGGGAGGTCACAGAGCCCCTTATAAATGAAAGAATATCAGATTATTTTTCAGTTTTTCAACAGTAACAATGAAAAATATAGTTTTATGCAACCAAACTGATTTTTGAGTATGAGTGACAGTTATCAGTATTCTAGGATTGAAGAACATTGTTTGCATTAGACCTCCAGTAATCAACTAGAGAATAAGTTTTAGAGAATCAGAATAACTGGAGCCGCATTAGTAAAGCTCTTTACTAATGTAAAGTAGCTCAGTGGTAGAGTGCTTGCTCCACATGCACGAGGCTCTCAAGCACTGTAAAAAGTGAAAGAAAAAAAACAGCGCTGATGGTTTAATTACGCATAAATTAAACCAAACAAAATGAGGGTTTAAAAGGAGAAAGTGTGGTCTGTAAGGAGGGGAGAATAGAGGGAGTGTGTTCAAAACAATTTAACTGTTTTTAGCAATCTTGTTGATGGTGGTATCACTATTATTTCAAGAATCTATGTTATATGAAATAAAAAGCAAACAGTAAGTAACTGTATTCTTAGTCACAAACTTTATCATTGAGAACTACAGTTCTTAGTATGGAAGAAAAGGATAACAGGAATTGATGTTTGCTTGGGGGTGGGCAAAAGTACTGGTAACTGAGATAGAGAAATAAGCTAGACATTCAACTTCAGGAGGTGTTTTTGTTTTTAAAAGAACAGATAAACTGGGAAGTGTGAAACAGTAACAAGAAATTAACAATACAAAAGCAATTAAAAAGAAAAATCAATAAAAGTCGAACAATAAAATCAACTACTAGTCAGTCAGAAAACTTGGTCAGAAAAAACATATGGACAAAGTATTAGGAATAAGAAAAACTAACAAATTCTAAGAATATTATTAGTTTAATGCCCATCCACTTGAAAACAATGAATTAGATGATTTTTTGTGGACAAGTTTTGTCATATCAGGCATAGAAAAAACAGGAAATTTTCATGTTTAAACTATTGTAGAGCACAGAAATTAAAAGATAGAAGGCATCCCATTTTGCTGAGTGAGACATAGTAAACCTGGAAACAAAGTTCAACTGTACCAAAAGAATCCATTTGATCCTCCAGATCAATCAGTATTCAGAATGGGCCCTGTGTCTTCTGGCCTCCAATTGGATTTGGAAACGAGGAGCCCCAGCAGGGACTTGGAGAAAAGCGAGGCTTATTCTCCTGCCTCACACTTCCCCTTTGTAGGAGCTTAGGGCTGGCTGTGGCACTGTGCTGAAAGTCCTGATCCTTTCCTAGGGGCCTATGGGTGATAGAGCCTCTCTGATTTTTTTACTCACCTAGGTTACTGTGCTAGCTCTTGTTGTTTCCCTGAGTGTTACGTACAGATTCCATAATAGTCAGTCCTTTGGTCAGTAACCCTTTTCAAATTAGCTTAATTTGTGTAAGCTGTATTGGTTGCTGTTTCTGATTGAACTAGTGGAATTACGATTTTTGCATTTATAGAAAATATTGTAAGATGTCCTAGTTTTGATTAAAAAAGTGCAGGAAAATATATTGCAGAGAAAAAATACTGTATTACAAAATTTAGAAAAATGACATCTTTAGAAATATTTAAAATGAATACCATACACATTTAAAAGGTATAATGGAGCTTTATATGTTATTTTATTATTTACTGTGTGTTAAATGTTATTATTGTTACCTTATTTAAATTTCCTGAGCATGGTTCTTATATTGTAGTTATATAGAAGAATCCCCTTGTCCTTAGGAGATATGTGCTGCAGTATTTAGATGTGAAATGTCATGATATCTGTTACTAACTCTCAAATGGGCTAGCAAAAAGAGAATATGTGTGTATGTGTAAGTAAAGACAAAACATATGTGTCACAATGTTAATGGTGAATCTGTGTTAAGGTATATAAGTATTTACTGTCTACTAATTGTGCAACTTTTTGGCAGCATTCAAATTTTCAAAATAGCTGGGAGTGGGGCACATACCTGTCATCCCAGCATGTGGGAGGCTGAGGCCGGAGGATTGCCGCAGGTTTGCCGCTAGCCTGGGCTACATAGTGAGTTCAAGGCCAGCCTGAGCTACATACACAGTGAGACCCTGTCCCAAAAACCAAAAAAATAAAGTAAAATAAATTTCAAAATGAATAGTTGGGAGACATATTCAGAACAAAAAAATAATATATTATGGATAAAGAGCTCTATTATAGACTGCAAAGAAACATTTAACACTAGCATTTGAACAAGTAAATCATAAATGGAGAAATACAGAAAACCTTTTAAACAAGGATGCTTGACTTTAGTAATAGAGGAGTGGAGTGTTTTTGTTTTGTTTTTATTTAGTTTTTAAAGACAGGTCTTGTTATATAGTTAAGACTGTCCTTGAACTCAATAGGCTGAGCTACAAACCCAGGCTGGCTATAAACTTATGGCAGCCCTCCTGCCTCTGACTCCTGAGTGCTAGGATTACAGGCGTGGGCTACTATGCCTTACAGGAATGCAAATTTAAATGAGCAGTCTGTATCAAAGCAGCAGAGATTGAAAAAGTGATAAGACTCTGTGAGGACACTGAACAAAGGCCTAGCAGACTGTTGGAGCTATAGCTTGGTGCCATCTTGTGGTGTGCAGCTTGTCAGTGTCCATGTATGCTATATAATCTGTATGCTCTGTAATTCAATTTAATCTAATGAGGAAATAAGTGAGGTTATGGGCACAAGCATGTGCATTGCAGCATTCTTAATATTAGAAAAGATTTAAATGTCCATCCATTAAGATTTAAATTCACAGTAGAATACTATTTAACTATAAAGCATGGAAGTTGTTACTATATTGATGAGGAACAATATCCCTGATCATTACATTAAAAATAAAACCAGGGGCTGGGGATTTAGCTCAGTGGTTCTGCCACCTGCCTTGCAAGCTCAAGGTCCCGAGTTCGATCCCCAGTACCAAAAAAATAAAAATAAAAGCAAGTTAGAGAAAAATATATACAGTACTGCTCCCATTTAAAGTAAAATAACAGGGGCCAAGGATTTAGCTCAGTGGTTCCGCCGCTTGCCTTGCAAGCGCTGGGACCTGAGTTCGATCCCTGGTACCACCCCCCCCCCAAAAAAAACCCATAAAGTAAAATAGCTACATATTATAGGCATGGTTTTATATATACCAATGTCATGTAGGTTTTGAAACCTAGTTGGGAATGTATTTTAAAAGCTTGGGAGAGTGGGCCTTTTTTTTTTTTTTTTTTAGTAGTTTTTATTTCTGATTTTGGATTTTTTTTTTAAAGGATATAATAGAAAATATGAGTTTCATTTTAAAAGTCTAATTTTTTTAACAATAATTTCTTTGTATGATGCTTTGTTGTTACAGTCTGTTAACATAAGAACCTGTTGCTCACTTTGCTCTCCAACATTCTGTTTTCAGAGCAGTGGGAAGAGCTCAGTGCTAGAAAGCCTGGTGGGGAGGGACCTGCTTCCCAGAGGTACTGGTATCATCACTCGGAGACCTCTGATTCTGCAGCTGGTCCAT